GTCATATTAACGGGTCTTCCTTGTAGGCGTATGGATATTATCCTATCACTTACAGCATTGTATTTCAGGACAGATCTTGAAACATCCTTTGTGATGATGAATGCCGCTCCATTCCTTTTCAAACTGTCATTCCATTATGACATGATCCATTATGGCTGGATCTAAGCAATATCAAATGCCTATTTTCTGAAAATATTTATTTCTTATCTAGTACTTGCCTGTTTTATGACCACATATCTGCACAACCACTGCTTCATATGTTGATACAGTATACTACAGTACCATCTGCTATTCAACAAAAAACATTCTTCCCATTTAACATCTGTTCCACTAAATGAAGTCAATTTAAATAGCGTGTCCTACAGAACTGTAAACCCAAAATATTTAATTCCAGTTATTAGAGTATCAGATCAGTAAGACCTTCTTTTTCTCGAGGTTTTTTATAGACACTATCAAATAGTATAAAGTCAAAGTGACCATAAACAAAACTTGAAAACCGGTCCCTTCAAATTAACCTAGGGTAATAATTCAGACAATCTTTTAAGAATGTCTATATTTTAAAAGGGAGCTCTGGTAGCATAGTGGCTACGGCACTTGACTGCTAACCAGAAGGCTGGTGGTTCAAATACACCAGCCACTCCTCGGAAGGAAGATGAGGCAATCTACTTCCGTAAGTGATACTGCCTCGGAAACCCAAGGATGGGTCGCTATGAGTCGGGTCCGACTCGACGGCAAACAACAACAACAACAACAACAACATATTTTAAAAAGCATAACAGTGTTCCTTAAGTAGGAATGTATTTGAGATAAAAAGATAATTGATGATGAAAAATGCAATGGCCTGGTCTTTAACCCCTCACACTTACCTTCTTTAATGCTTTCACTAAATCCGCATAATCGCCTGCCTCCAGTTTGGGGTTTTTCACTAGTACTTCTACAGCCTCCAGAGCTTCTTTTCTCTCTTGCCATTTTTTTGCCTCCTACAAGACATAATAAGAGTCACTTACAGAACAGAAAATATGACAGCAGAATAAAACTCTATTTCTTGTACTCTATTAACTCCAAGATAAATGTTTCCTTATACTTTTTCTAAAGCTAGTTTAAAAACAATTGCATAACCATCCTACCTAATCTAATTATATATATAAATTTTTATTCATCTATAAAAAGCATTTTATAAGATTTCATATCACTAAATCCTGTGATAAGTAAACAGAAGGAGGTGCTCCAGGTTTAATTCCTTTTAATTTTGCAAGCAAATGTTAGTAATCAGGTGCTAAGGAGAAAACATTGATAGAAAGCATTTCTAGGCCATGTCACACTGGTAAAATTATACGAGTGGAATTTTCATATTGACATTAAGAAGACCAGAAAAGAATAATCTCATAACCAACAAGCAAAACTGTTCCAATCTTGAGATTAGTTTTTCAAATTTCCAACATTTCTTTTGTTTATAGTCTTTACGCAGAATATGCGTCCTTAGAGGTCAAATGATAATTCAATAATCTGAACACCCACTATATGAAACAATGAGGGAGATAAAGAAGATGACACACTCACTCTTTTTGAATTCAAGTAATTATTCAAAATGAAAGAAAGTTTAACCATTACTTACAATTTTGTCATAAAAATCTTTGGGAAGTTTGGAAAGAATTTCTACTGCTTCCAAAAGCTCATAAGCATCTATCTGTGGCACTTCATCACCATCATCACCACCTTCCAGGAGAAAAAAAACAAACCTTAAAAATAGATAGACTGGTTTTACTTATCAGTCATCAATTCTTTCACGTACTAAAGAAATCAGGGTTTTAAATGCTACAGCCAACTTACATTTCATTCAATGCAGTCTTACAAAATGTGCCTATTGCACATAGGTTCTTTTGTCAGTGCCAGTTTTTGCTAATTTCCACAGAAACAAGTATTTAAACTTGGCTTACCTCCTTCAGCGTCTCCACCAGCAGATTGTTGCTGTTCCAATTTTGCTTCTAGTTCTTGTTGGGAACGCAGATACCGAGTTGGTTTAGGAGCACCTGTTGGTAGTTTGACCCATTCTTCTTCTAGTTCTTTCAACTGTGAAAGTCGTAAACCACTTTTGAAACATGTCTACCTCTTTGTAATTAGAAAGCACATTGAAAATTTACATTTCGGATGGAAGGTTGGGCAATCCTACTTCCGTAGGGATACTGCCTCGGAAACCCAAGGAGGGGTCGCTATGAGTCGGGGTCGACTCGACGGCACATAACAACAACAACAACAACAATTTCTTATATATGTGGCTCTAACAGGACAATTCAGAAAAGATAAGTTGAAACTGTACTTATTTTGTAGCATAATTCAAACCAACTTATATTTATTACAGTAAAGACACATATCTAAACACTGAGAGAAAAATAAAATCCACTTTTTAGTAAACCTTTATTTATTAGTTCATGAATTCAGGTATATCTGGGTCAGAACATAGTCTCCAAAACCAATTATAATAATAAAAACATTGGAACATATTTTGCCCAGATAGAAAGGCCTGCCACCAATAGCATTATAAAGAGATCTTCTATACTGCTATAGATTCAGCACTAGCATATTGGAATCACTGAATGCAAGGCATTTAGCTTGACAATATAAAGTAACAGCAGAGAAATCAGCTATGCTTAGAAAAATCAACCACTTTTAAAGTTAAAAAGGAAAAACAATTATTTGTAAAGACAGAATATTGACAACAATGGCAGGCAGGGTATGTTGTTGTTGTTGTTGTTGTTGTTTGCCATCGAGTCGGCCCCGACTCATAGCGACCCCTCCTTGGGTTTTCGAGGCAGTATCACTACGGAAGTAGGAATGCCCCACCTTCCTTCCGAGGAGTGGCTGGTGGGTTTGAAGCGCCAGCCTTCTGGTTAGCAGTCAAGTGCCTTAGCCACTATGCTACCAGAGCTCCTAGGCAGGGTATAGCTTTACATTAACCATACGTAAAAACAAAATAAAACTTTGTGCCTCACCTGGACAGAATTTATATTTTGTAATGGGGGTCTCAGAGCATCCCGAATCCATCTGTAAATCTCCACAGCAATTAATTTGGCTTCATCTCGAACAGCCTTTTCTCGAGACTCAAAGAGTTTTGGCAACACTTTGATAATTGGCTTAAGCAAGATGATTTTTGAACCAAATTCACTAGAAGTGAAAAAATTGGGGGAAAAACTTGTCAGCACATGATATGCTTGGGTTAAATGTTAGCTTTAATTGACTCAAACATATTTCTATATAAACAGGGTTATACAGGTTTTTTTTTTTTTTTTTAATTTCTTTATTTAAAGGAAACAAAAAGGAACTTACAACTATGTCTGCATTTAGATGTGATTCTTCCAAGAGTATTATTGTCTAGGGCCCAAAATACTATTACCAGTGAAAAACTAACCTTCTAGGTAACCAGGTTAGGAATAATTTAAATCTATAAAGGCCTAGCACCTTTATAAAATCTTAAATATTACTTAAAATATCTTAAATATATTTAGAAACATAAATAAATCAGCTCATAAATATTTAGGAGATGAGTGAAACCTACTTTTAATAAACTCTTAACAGGTCTTTTAAGAAGATTCACTCAACTAGGGAGATGACTAATCCTGGCAGTGTGTTTTCAGTCCTCACTTTGCAACTTTGCAACTATTACATTGCATCCCTAGGCAACTCACCTTTTTTTTTTTTTTTTTTTTTTTCAGTTTTCCATGAGGAGTTGCAGGCTGACTTCTTTTAAAGAGAGCACACATTTAACCTTACATACCTGATACTCATTATATTTTAAGTTCTCAATGGGTCATTTCAGCTTTCTGAAGCACTGCTATTATTTTTGAAAACTAATTCTAGAACAGGAGAAATTTAGTTATGAAAGAACACTAAAATTCTTTATGAGTAGTAGGCCCCATATATATTATTATCTCATCTGCACAGGTGGGCATGCAATAAAATCTTTCTGTAACGGTTGTTGACATACCCTAAAAATGTTTAAGAATGAGATTTCAAAAAATACTTTCTTTAGAAAGTGGTTTTTAAGATAACTGGCTGTGTAAGATAGTTTCAGTATAGATACCACGACGTGAAAATAAACTAGATGATCTCTACAATTTCTTCAAAATGTTAACTTTACTAGGAAAAAAAACCACATTATACTAGGCATAGCTGACCTTTAAAGCTAAGAGGGAAAGAGGAAATCATAGTGATGATAACCCATTTTGCTTTAGGGATATTTAACATGGTCTTAAGAACTTAAGATTTGGGACATCTTAATCTTCCTTTAGGAGGAGCCCTGGTGCACAGTGGTTAAAGCACTCAGCTGCTAACTGAAAGGTCGGCAGTTCAAACCCACAAGCTGCTCCGTGGGAGAAAGACGTGGCAGTCTGCTTCTGTACAGCCCTATGTGGCAGTTCTACTCTGTCTAGAGTTGCTGTGAGTCAGAATTGACTTGACGGCAACAAGTTTGTTTTTTGGTTTAATCTTCCTTCATATAACTACTGTTTCATTTGATTCTTTTTTTTAATAAGGGAGAAAAAACAGATTGGAACAGGTCCACATGGAAAACAGACCTCTTAACAAAATGAAATCTAATTTTGATATTAAACATATTCCTACTTAAAAAAACAAAAGAGTTCTAGAAGCCTCTTTTAAGGGCCACAGAATATTTCTGTCTCCAGAGGCTATCACTAACAGTGACAACTTTAGGAGGCCCTGGGACCTAAGATTGAGCAGTTTGGCCTCAAGGTTCTTTAGGGCCCCAGGGAGCTTTTTAGTTCCAGAAAACCATTAGAGATTCTGAGATGTGTGAGGACAGGTAATGAACCACACAGGGATGGGACTAAATAACATCGATAAGGGAAGACATAAGATGCACCTACCGTTCTTTCTCCACCCTTATTCTCCCAGTCAGCTTAAAAATGAAATTACTACAATTCACCACATTCCAGATTATAAACTTCTAATTTAAAGGTAGAAGATTATAGTATAATATATATTAAGAGATCCATTACTACCAAAGACAGTTCTATTGACACAAGCAAATCAATTCACTAGACCTCTAAGACAGAGAAATAGCATATCATTTACCATTCATAAAAATACATAATGCCTACCATATCATGAAAGGCTAGAAACAAAGGAAAAATTTATCACACAAGAATCTAAGTGGAAGTAAAATTTCATAAAAGAACATTAGGAACCAGAGGGGAGGGGAGGAAACACTGCATAAATAAATAAATAGTATGGTTTTTTTGTTTTTTTTTTTTAAAAAAAAGAACATTTAGGAACCAACTGAAAAACAATATAAAAATTAAGATTTATAAACTAAGGATAGTTCAACAAAATTTAAGAATGTTAGTATTTTTACATAAGATAAACTCCAAAGGAAATATTTTCTCCAAGATGTAGGTCAAAAATGAAATCAGAGAAAAGTTGAGTTTGAATAACCTTTACTCTGATAGGTCATACATTCAGGACTTCACTAGAGCTGCTTTCTAAAACATCTTATGTGGATTCGACTGGGGACAGGATCCCAGATTAGGAGGACTGCCAAATTAGAACAAACTAGTGGTTTGTCTAATTCAGATTTCCATGGCACACTACAGCTTCTCGTTCCTAAAAGAGATCTCACTCATGAAAAACTTCACTGCCAAACAGCAAGTCTGGGGTTGAAAATAACTTATTACTTAAAAGTTATTTTCTATTTGCATTTGTTGTGCTGTGCTTCTGTTTAAAGACATAAAGCACTTGCTTCTACTTTTCTAAAAAGGCAAAGGTTTGTTTTAGCCAACATTTTAACACAAAAAAATTTAAACTAAAGGAAACAGGAGAAAAGAGTTGTTTAAATATCTGAAGGGTGTTTTTCCAAGAAAAAGTTCAGTTTTAATCTGTGAAGCGCCAAAAATACCCCCTATTCATCTTCATTAGGAAGGGATGTAGATATAATAGCTATACAACACATTTGAAGGATAAAACTATTCAATACAAGGTGCCACGTGAGAAGAATGAGGTTAACTCCTCCAGGTTGCTTTACTGGTGGTTGTAACATACCAAGTCAAGTCCAGCAGTTTCCATTTCTGTTTAAACCAGGAACCTAAACTTGAGATATTCAAGTTATTACTAGAACTAAAGCAACAAGAGAAAGTCTTACCTTAAGGCCTTCCTCAGAGTTTCTATACAGGCCACTATGACCTTGGGGTTCTTATTATCCAGGCCTTTTAGGAGCTCCTCTTGCACAGCCTCTCCTTTTTCAATCTCTATGTACATTAGACAAATCTCTATGCCTAGCTCCTTGGCTTTGGCTTTCGGCTGGTTGAACACTTTACTTACAACACCTGACACAACTTCTCCTGTGGTTCTGTAATTTAGATTATGAACAGTAATCACCAACACCATCACCACAAAAAAAAAAAACCAAAAACCAAAAGTCACACTTTAATGGACAGAGCTAACAAAGGTCATGCAAAAAGAAGTACTTTAATAAATGGTTAGAAATAAAGTAAATGAATCTTTAATTTCTTATTTATGTTCAACTACACTTTTTTAAAAACTTATTTATCAAACCATAAAAATGTAAGATACGTCACAGCAGACAAAGGAACAGAACTAAGTAAAGATTTGAAAATTGTTATATATTTTAAAAATACCAGTTTATGTTTACAAATGTGGAACATTCAAACAAGAAAGCAAAAATCCCTTGAAATCCAACTACTCAGAAAACTACTTGTAACTTTTATCTATCTATCCTTCCAGACCTTTGTCTATGCATATATATAGATATATAGATGGATATGCAGATATATTTTACAAAACTAGGATTACAGAGTACTTGCTTTTTAAAAAAATTTTATTTTAAATACTTTGTAGGACAACAAAATTTTTTCACAGAAGGAATGGATATGTATTCTTAACTCCTTGGCAAGGCTTTATAGCACTTTTATTGCTTTGAGTCCCTTCTAAATATAATAAAGAGTGAACTGCTGGGAACTGGAGGAATTGAATGGGTTGCAATTTCATAAAGCATTTGTCAAAAAACAGCTTGGTATCAGAAGAAAAAAGCAATGTTTTTACTAATGGAAGAGAAACCAGGTGATGCTAATTAACCAAACTGTCAAATTAAGGACAGTCCTAATTGGCATAGCTTTGAAGTATGTAAAGTGTATATTCCTTCTGAAATTAAGGGTCCCAAGTCTTTATTTATGGAGAGCTCCTTTCTATAACATAAAGATTAGAGTTAGAAAGTTTTGGAGTATGGACTAGGATGAGCAGGAACCTCCATTATCTATAGCCCAAGTTAAACCAGGAAGGAGTCACAGAGATTATCTAGTCACAGCATTGCCTCCCTCAAGAGACAGAAATGTCTAATGACTATGTTGTTGTTGTTTGCCATTGAGTTGGACCCGACTTATAGCCACCTCTCCTTGGGTTTCCGAGACAGTATCACTACGGAAGTAGATTGCCCCATCTTCCTTCCGAGGAGTGGCTGGTGGGTTTGAACCGCCAGGCTTCTGGTCAGTAGTCAAGTGCTTTAGGCACTATGCTACCAGAGCTCCCCTAATGACCTAGGGAGAGAGATGTGAGACTAAGATCATCTAGCTGGAAACTCCAGTAGAAAAAGGTTTTTGTAACACCTGAGTGTCTTCAGTGAAGACACTCAGTGAAGTCCTTTGCTGACCTCAGTTTCTTCTAAAGGTAACTGAAGACTTTCTATTTTAGTTTACAATGTTTTCCACAGCAAAGCCTAAAAAGGAAGATCACTTTTCATCAAACCTTGAGGTAAAAGGTCAAGATCTGATTTCTCATTTTCTCCTTCTCTGTGGAGATCTCATATACCATTTAGATTTCTGAGAGTAGATAAAAACAAATGAAAAAAAAAAAAGGATCAAGGAGCTATGAAAGAAAGAAAATTAATGTGTTCTAAAGGTACTAGTAACCAAGGACAGTGATCTATAAACATATATAAATTAATTTATGTAGCATCAGATAGGGGTTTTTACAGAATAACTAGAAAGAAACTACTTACTTTCCTGCTACATGAGCGTTTTCAACATAAACAAGTGCAGCTTCTAATCCTTTCAACTGAACCACTGCATTGGAATCAGTCACAAATTTTTTGATCAATCCTAAATATTTGGACCACTCTGGGCTCTTTTCATCCTTTATTTTCTGGAAGATCTTTAAGGCCTCTTCATATCCACTTAATCTTGCTTTCCACAACTGAAATAAAAGCAAATATTTTAAAGCAAAACAAAACTTAATGATAATTATTTATGGTTAATTTGGTGAGGGGGAGGTAAAAATGACTATCCTATATTCTATGACTTGAACACAGGACCCCATGACTGGAAACAAAAAAGGAGTTTGAGAAATTCAGATGTTTACAAAAGACATTAGCTAACAAACTTTTTTTTTAAGTGTTTAATATTTATAATACTCTACCAAGGCCATCTAAAATTCCTAACAGATAATAGTAAATGTACTTCATTTTGTATCCAAGTATTAGTTATTACTTCTTTGTAATACAGTATTAAAGATGTGACAATTCAAGTAAGAGAAATCAGCCTGCTGAAACTGCAGAGTCTCCAAAGATTGCTGATTTTTGGTTCTATTCATGTAATCATTAGACAGGCTTTCTACTAAAGAATTTTTAATCAATAATTTATTAATTTTAGTTAATAGATTTCAGATCCTTTACTAACGTATTCATTTTCATTAATTTATTCAGTAGATATTTAGTAAGTAAAAACAGACAGAGTCTTGGTCCTTGTGGAACTTTTAGTCTAGGAGTAGAGTAAGACATTAAGTAATCAAACAAACTTAAAATTAATAAAGTGGTAAGTGCTACAAAGGAGTAGGAACTTGGTGCTATAAGTGAATATAATAGGTGACATATTCTGTCTTAAGAGTTAAGAAATCATTTCCCTGAGAAGCTGGTGACTGAAGTGAGCTGTGAAGAATAAACCAGGAATTAACCAGAAGAAGGTGGAAAAGGGGGAGAAAGAATATTCCAGGACAGAGAACAGTGTAAATATGCAAAAGCCCTATGCAAGGGGGAGCATGGTACTAAATGATCTAGATGGGACTGGTTAAGGGACAGACCATGTAGGACTGTGAAGGCCAAATTAAAGATTCTGCTCCTTATTCTCAGAGCGATGGGAAGGCATTGAAATGTTGGGGGGAAAGTAAGTGAGAGATTAGTAGGTATGACAATCAAATTTGGATTTTGAAAAGATCAATGCTACAGCGTGTTGAATGTGCAAGATACTATGTTAGGCACTAGCAGAGAATTAGATTTTTATCCTCAATTCTATATTACATCAATGAGAAAGAAGGATCAACATATGATTGACAAATAGGATAAATAATTTGTATATTATTTATTTAAATGAAAATATAACTGGGAGCTGGTGCTATGTTCACAGAAAAAACTTTTCTAAGGAAAGAAGGCTGCCTAACCCATTATAACCAAAATCAAACTCACTGCCAACGAGTCAATTCCAACTCATAGCAACCCCCATTGGTTTCTGAGGTGTAAGTAAATTGCCTCATCTTCCTTCCACAGAGCCGCTGGTGGATTTAAACCACTGACCTTCTGGTTAGCATCCAAAATGCCTTATCCACTATGGCTTTAACCCCTTATAGATGCTTTTAAGTACCTAGGAAGAAGGCACTACATATTCTGCAGCTTTATAGTGAAGTATAATATAAATTAGCATCAAAAATTGTACATTTGCCAACCAATTTAAACCAGTTTTAATACTTCCATTCTCTTAAGTTTCAAAAACACATAACAAATGCTCAATAGTAGGGACATGAGGAGGGGGACACCAAATCATACTGGATTATATAACTCTTACCACATATTAACCAACCAATCAAAATCTGAAGTGCTCAAGAGATATTTATCTATTTTGTCTGCCCCTTACAGTGAGCAAAGACAATACCTAACAAAAAGCATTGCAAACAGCTATCATCCTAAACTCATTCTAAAGTTTCCTCCCTAAAATTTGTTTTGCTGCCAATTTCTATGCTAATTAGAATAAAAGCTAGGTCACTGTGAAGGTGGACTTATCTAAAGAGATTACATGTTGGTTATTGGTATATGGTATTCAATCCCAGCTAATTTATACAGGGTTAAGGAATGAGATAGGGAGGAGACAGGGATCTGGGCTCCAAATTTCTACTCTACTTATGTAGAACTGTATGTATACAACTGTGTGGGTTAATATATCTCTCCTGCATTTCTAGCAATCAACAACCATAAATCTTGAATACTCAGACTCAAGACAAACTTTAAAAGAAAATATGGCAATGGATATTGGTAATGGCTGCACAATGTGGTTCATATAATGGAGACGTAATTGGTTTTACTGAACCATACAAGTGACAAATGTTGAATAGGCAAATGTTGTGTTATCTATATTTCTTTGTAACAACCACCAAAAACCAAAAAAACGCCATTAACATAAGAGGGTTAATCTAAGAACTTTAAGTAGAAAAAATTTACAAAAGAGGGAATGATGGTAAGGAAGAAGTCAAACTATCCCTATTTGCTGATGATATGATCCTATACCTAGAAAACCCAAGAGATTCATTCAAAAAACTACTGGAACTAATCGAGGGATTTAGCAACGTCGCAGGATATAAGATCAACATCCAAAAATCAGTTGGATTCCTCTACACCAGCAAAG